TTCTATTTGGGGCTTTGCAACTACAAATGATTTTTAATTTTTAAAAAATTAACGGGTAACAAAAATCAATTATTAAAATTAAATTAAAAAAAAAAAATTTAATTTATTTGAGTTGTTTTCATTAGTAAATAGTGCTTATATTAAACATTGTCATTCAAACATTTGTAACAAATATTTTTACATAATCGTCATTCAAAAGTTAATGTGGTTTTTCTAAAAATTAATTACTTATTTTATCTTACCACTTATAAAATAATTTAAAAGTTATGATATGTTTATAAATGATATAAATTATATAATTATATAAATTTAGTATAATGATATTATATAATTTAATATAAATTATATAATGATATAAGTTATATAATGATATAAATTATATAATGATTTAAATTATATAATGATATGATGTAAATTTAAAAGTTATGATATAAAAAAAAAATGATATAAAATCGTTTAACCAAATTCGCTTATTGCTTATGTAAAATCGCTTAAGGCGTATGTAAATTGCTCTATGTTGTGTAATGCTTTAAAACAGAGGCCTGTTTTCTTCTATTGTGATTAATTTTAAATCATCTTCATGAACAATATGAAATAGTTCTTTGATTTCTTGAGAAAAAGTTTCTTCATTTCTTTGCTGAGTTTCTGTTTTGGGGCCTTTATTCTTTTTCAGCTTTTGTATTTCTAAACAAGTTTTTCAACATGTGTTATAACAAGATTATGTTGCTTTGTTCTGAACCTAATCTCTGTCATAAGGTCTGCACTTTCTCTTACATTGCTGTTATTTTTAAAGAAAAATAAGTTTATAAGACTTGTCTTTTAGAAGGTGTTATATAATTTCACCAAACTTGATAAAAAGAAGCAGACACGTGATTTAATATTTCAAAATGCGACTGCACTGTTTATTTAAACATTGTTGTTGCATTTTAAAGCACGTTTTTTCTCAATTTAAAATGAGATTTAAAATTAGATTTCTTTTTAATTTCCAAATGCAATTGTATCATTTCATTTTGAATCACGCGAATGGACAGTTTAATTATTAATAACGTTGAATCTCATGTTTTTCATTAGTAAAATAAATTTTTATTTTAACTTGGTCAATTAAAATTAACAAACGGAAAAACATTAAGATGGACATTAAAAATTATTGTAAGAACACAATTAACAATGCACATGGAAATTCTTTTTTCTTAAAAAAAAAAAAGTCTTAGTTTAATGAAAAATGTTTAAAAAATGAAAAACATAATATTTTAAACATTATGTTTAATAATAGAGAATAATAGAATATTTTTCTATATAAAACATTTCTTTGCAGTTATGGCTTTCAACATTTTTGTTTTATCTAATGAAACCTTTGTTAAGACAAAAACAAAATATCAACTATGACAAAAATGACTTCAACTTTAATTTTATTAATAACTATTGTTAAATAAACTTTTTCTTATTAGATGTAATTTAGTATTCAGACATTTAAATTTTTTTCTTTCAGCATTTTCACCCCAAAAAAAAACAATCGGACTACTGATTATCATTGCGGGCAACTCAAATGAGAAATGAAAATTGTTTTAGTCGCCCACAGGGCAACCCGAAAAAAATCAGAGTTTACACCACTGTAATAATGTGTTTCAAAAATATTTTTTTATGATAGGTTTGCCGTTCATCTATATAGAAATATCGATAGTATGACTATAATTGTTTGCAGTAAATAACTGAATTTTGTTGGAGTTAAAATTCATAAGCCACTGCAAATCAGCCATAGTATAAGAAGGTCAAAAGTCGTTATGATTGTCAGACAGTAAATTATTTGACTCAAGATGGGATGTTAGAAATTTTTTGATCAATGAATCACCTTGCTAATTTAACCTTGCTAACAGATAGAAGACTGATCAGACAATAGTTCTATAGGTCAGAATGTTCTACATATTTTTTTAAACTACAGATGCCATTTTCCAGCATCTAGGAAAACAAGATTTCCTCAAACACTTATTAAACAATTTAGAGAGAATCGAAAAGAGTAGTAGAAAACATTTTTGTAAGACTATAAAAGGAATGTTGTCTGGACCACAAGCCATAGAAGAGTTTAATTGAGAGATGACTTTAGCAATGGAACCTGGAGTGATTTGAATGTCTAACAATCCTTTAACTTTTTTAAGTGGAATGGCAGGAAGAGCTAACTTCTGAGATAAGATACAATTTTTAGTAAACTGGGAGTAATGGAACTTAAATATCTGAGTAAAAGATTGACAAATTTAAAGGTTCATGTTAAAGGTCATGGTCAATTTGATCAGAAATCATATCTATACCCATCAATACTGAGATCTGAAGGAACAGCCAAATTTAAATTAGTCTAACAAAGAACAAGCAAGTCTGTTGAATTTTGCAAGAGGTAAGATTCGACAGATGGAAAATTACTTCGAAGACCTCAAATATTTGTGAAAGCTACATCAAAACATTTGGGTGGTGGTGTTTTTATGTTTAATCTTATTGATTACTTTGAGTATGGTTTTAATAAAAAAACATGACTCATTCATAGATAGAGCACAGCATCCCAAGTAATGAGCAGTTGTCTAAGTCCTGCTTATTAACTCAAAGTTGTAACTTAGGGCTGCTTATGTGACCTTGCCAATGGACACCAAAAGCATTAACAAGAGTACGCTCCATGCCCAACATAGCGCTGCAACCCAATCAATAATAGATAGCAACTCCAATCATACAAGCACATTATAGCTGTGGTAAGATCTGACTGAGAGTATATCATAAGTGGAATATAGTTTTATATTATCAGCATAAAGTTTAAGTTTAACGTTAAGCTCTTTATATGTCACTGATATCATTGATGTTCATCAATGATATCAGTGATTTTTTTTATTGTTCAATAAGAATAAAGTAGGTTCTAGAAAACTTCCTTGCGGAACACCACTTGTTACAGATATTGTGTAAGAAGAAACATTGTTTAACCTATTACCTGAGAACTCATATCTAAAAAATTGGTAATCCAATTCAGAAGATTGCCAAATATGCCATAAGCAGGTAGTAATTTAGGATGTGAAACTGAATCAAAAGTTTTTTTTAAATCAAAATAAACAATATCAGTAGGAATGTGGTGCTGGAGATTCAAACTCCAGTCATGAAGACTTTTAAGAATATTAATGCAAGTACTGCGTTTACGAAGAAACAAGTAGATGGTTATGGCAACAAGTAGATGTCAATGATTACTTGGATTAACTGTTGGTCCCCTTTTTTATGTATTGGAACAACATTTGCTATTTTCAAGCATATCAGTAATACACCATATTTAAATGTGGTAACAAACAAATGACATAAAGGTACTGCTAAGATTTTGGTACAGAATATTTGGAATACTATCTGGACCAGTAGTACATGAACATGATCCATAAACTTTGGTGATGAACTGTTATCAATAATTTAATAGAACCAAATGAGCATCATTTTTGTTTTGTTTTACTTTAAAAACATCTGACCAAGCACAACCATTTAAATTAGATACATTATTTGGTTGATTCTTGATATCATTCAATAGTATTTTGAGGTCACTGGTTTCTTTTTCTTTAGTTAAAAGTTCTGCTCCCAGTTTCAATACACGTCTCACTAAAGCATCAAAGCCTTCTTTTTTACCATATTTTAAACTTATTTTATAAATATATTTGTTTATATTTTGAAGTTATTTTATAAATTTAGTTGTTTACAAAGATACGTCAGTCATCTTTAGCGGCGTGTTTTTATTTTTTTTGCATTTTTTAAATATATATTTTTTAAGTATCTCTGATAATCCTTTTTTTGCTTATAACGGTAGATTATTGTATAGTTCATCCTGGAGGTCCTGAAGGTAGAAATTTACATTTACTAATGAATTTTGTAAATTTACATTTACAAAAACATTTACAACAATTAGGCTGATAACAAGTGTTTGAATAAAACCTGTATACTAGTATTGCCGCATGAAAACTAGTTGATAAGTTTACTTTCTACAACCAAATGATGAATAAAATGAGATTTGAAAAGTTGTTTATTAAAGGGGCCAATCATGATGGGTCTCTATCAATGTTTACATTTTTTAAACCTCCTTATTGGTGTTTTTTTAATTTTTTTTTTGTCAAAAAAATTGTTGTTTCACTGCAGTTTAAAAAATTTTTTTGTTTCACTGCTTCTGTTAGAATGACAATTTCTGAAGTCATTAAAACATGAATATTATTTATTTTAAAGTTTTACCTTTCTACTCAACTTTTTATTTTTTAAACTTTTTTCTTCTTTGAATCTTCAAAAACTCCAAAGCCTAAACCTATCCTTGTTAGATCTTTTTTTCGTTAATTTTGATCATTTTATTGAAATCTGTTACACCACCCCAAAAGTCTTTTCAGCAATCATATTTATATTTCATTAGCTTAAATCATTAGCAGACTTTCTTATATGATCTTTCTTATATTCAACTCGTTTCTCCGCGCAGCGGCCTTGCTTGTCAAGGTTCGTGTTTCGGAGTTATAGAGTTGAGAGAGGGTTATAACCATAATTCAGTAGCCTCCTCGTCTGTAGTGGCCTTCTCGGCCTTGAGGAGGTGAATTAAAAAAAAAAATATATATATATAATCTGAAGTATAAGTTTTAATAGTAATAGATAGTATGATACCAAACATAATGTTTATATTATTATTGATGTTATATTATTATTACACACATACTGTTTAAAATGTCACTTAAGCATACATTTATGACATCACACTGAAATAGTCTGCTTCCGGAGGCTTCACTACATACATAGACTATCTTATAGCCTGTTGCCGCAAAAAAGTGTTGCTACATTGACTGAGAGTTTACCATAAGGCAACAATCTTTTCTTTCATTATTCTTCATTTTTTTCTTCTTTTTCTGAATACATCGTATGCTATAAAGATAGGAAAAACTAGTAACAATTTGTTATATATATTTATGTTATTGTACATTATAATAATTTTATGCTGTAAAATTGATTGTGTGTTATTTTAG